TTTTGTTTTTTTTGAAGAACGCAAAGGATCGTGGTCGGAGAGACGGAATTCCAGTATTGTTGGGAGGCGTTCGTTAGAGAGAACCACAAGTGGTGACGAGGCTTGCAATTTGACCAGTTTTAGACCAGCTACTCTGACAGTGACAAACTTCTTTAAACAGGTATTGTATGAAGCTACCTAATTAGGAAGTTGCTTCTTGGGCAGAGTTATTTGATCATGTGAAGTTAGTTTAGACCTGAAGGGGTACTTTGTGACACTTTCAGTGCATGCAATGTCTGTTCCCTCATCACAAGATACCTTTGAACAACATGCAGTGCGTTTAGTATCCTGTGTGCTTATCCTGCCACCAGCAGGTCCACAGTTGGTTGGTGGATTCTTTCAAGAAGTTTACTGTGAATAAATACATTTTAGAACTTGAAACTATTAGCTGTTTTTGACTTTAGTGATGAAGCATCATTATGGCTTAGAGACTTAACCATTCTAACTCAAAGAAATGGGTCTCCCCAGAAGAATGTTGGTTTATTTTGCTCCAGATTTTTCTAATGTGCACTGGAAAAATCACTGTTTGGACTTTTGGTAGGCATAGTTAGCAAAATGTTCATGGAAGCAAGTGCACAAAATCCAAGGATAACTTTTTTAGGTTAGCATGTACCAAAAAGTATTCCAGATACTTGCCCTAGTCTAGGAGTTGCATATCCTCTGTCATGATGTTCACTTGACTCCTTTGGCTTCATTGGGTAATAGAAAATCCCCTTAAACCATCAGGAGGCTCAGAAACAGTTTCATCAATGTGATTTGTGCTTGGCATCAGTTCCCTGAACACATCCAGTGATGCCCAAGAAAACAAAGCATTTCTCATGCCTTTTTTGCTGAGTGGCAGCTCTCCCGAGCCAGAGCTTGGGATTTCCCTGAGAATCATTGGAAAACATGATTAAACAGAATAAATTTTGTAGTTAAGCTTAGAAAATGGTTTCAGTTCATTAATTTTTTCTAAGGTTTGCTTAATGCCACATCTGGTTAAGGAAAATTATTATTTGAATGTCACCTTTGTGTATAAAATGGATTTAATAGTGTACAACCAGATATTTTTTGGACTGATTCCTTGATCACTGGGAATACAAAAATGTGTATTCTATATATTGCAAGTTGACTAAGCTCTCTTTTTTCTGATTGTTTTGGTTGCCTGCCAATTTCACTGTGGGTAGCCATCCAAAGTCTGCTCTTAAATTCAGTGGTGTAAAGGAGAAATGTCATCCAGGGCATGAAATTATACTGGTGAAAACCATGTAAATGGAAGGTGACTCCTGCCTCTTCTGCTCAGTGCTTTCAAGAAACTCAGTATGACTGAAATTGGGGTTTGCAAATATTATCTTTGGTGTCTCAGTGACACCGAACAGTACGGGAAATACCTTTCACTTGGGGTGTTAAAATCTAGTTATGTCTTGTATTTACCAAAAACTTAGAAAGTGAGGGGAAAAAAGTATCACAGTATTGCTAATGTAGCTATTCCATTCACTGGCCTTGTTCTGCAGCCCTTTTTGTAATACACACCAGTTTAAATGTGGTGATAAATAAGTAATGATCTGCAGAATTGTAGATCATTATGTGTATATTTACTTTGTTCTCTCTGGACTACCTGAGACAGTTTGTTTTATTAATTTATTATTTAAAAATCTCTACATGTTGATTTAAGATTTTAAGTTTTTAATTCTTATTACCTTTTATTTTTTATCTTCCTTTCCTTTAGTATCTTTGTGTACAATTAACTATAATAATAAAGTAATATACTACTGAGCATTTTTATCCTCTATTTCCTTTTTCTTTCATATTGGGTTTTATTACCCTTATAATCAGGTATCTTCTACTTTTGAATAGTTAAATGGTGGCAAAGTGACATTTTCTATACTGTTATAAGAAAATTTTGAGCTACTAGAATGTGGCACAAGGAAGATTGACAGCAAACTCCTTCCAGTTCCCACTGTTCATTAACACTCCTCTTGACAAGTAAGACTCTTTTAGACTTGTACCAAAGAAAAGGCAGGGGAAAAGGAAGGAGGATCACAATGTGAATGATGGATATTTTTTCAAGCCATTATACTTGCTAAAAAATGGATATTTTGGGGAAATCTTTTAACAACCATTCTCAGTTTTAAAAAAGATAATATTGATGAGGAGACAAAAGGTTTTCGCTGAAAAGTTCCTGCAGCTGTCACGATGATTAATAAGATAAAAAGGGAAGGAAAAGGGATGGAGAAATTAACTGTAATTTAGCATGTTAATGTTAACACCTTGTTCTGGGAAGGTACATTTTGATGTCAGAGGAGACTACAGTATCAGATGGTTTATTCATGCTCTTGCAGTCCTCAAGGATTGTGTAGATAATTTTTTTCTTCCTGACTCCCAACAGGAGGGTGATCGCCTGAGCGATGAGGATTTGTACAAGTTCCTTGCTGATATGAGACGGCCATCATCAGTATTACGGAGATTGAGACCCATCACAGGTATTGAGCAAGATCTTTCTGGCTTATGCACATTAAGGTTGTTAAGTTAGTCCTTCCTAATTGCCACCCAATTCTTATAAGCAAGTAGATGAAAGAAAACCTGGGAAGTTGTCGATGGCAATCCTAGAAGTGGCATTTTGGCAGTTTTTTTCACTGATGTTCACATGCAGCTTTGCCATGCTGAGTAGCATCTGTGAGAAGAGGATACAAACCCCAAAGCCCTAAATCCATCAGGGACTGAGGAGCTTCTGTTTCCCTGAGTAAAACACTACTCTCCAGCTGAGGGGAGATCTCTCTGCTGGCTATCACTTGGTTAGTAGGAACAGACTTCATCTCTATTTGAGAAAGAAAAATAGAAACACCATGCCTGCCAGCACTGAAACATCACCAGTCCATGACCTATGCTATTTCTGACAATATTTACTTAACCTGCTCTTGAAAATCTCCATTGACAGCAATTCTACTGCTTCTATAGATTCTCTCTCCCAGCACTCCTCTGTCTCTCTGGTGAGATTAGTTATTAAGAAAACTTTCTAAAATTATGTTTCTGAAAAGTAACCTGATTATGTCCTGTCCTGCTCTCAGGGCAGTTGCCACAACCTTTCTGGTACCTGAATGCTGCTAGTTCCCTTTTACTCACATCCATTTTGTAGTAGACTAACCAGGCAGGATTTTCTTTCAGCCTTTTGATAAAGGTTGTTAAAATTGCTTGTGGTTTTGTTACTCTGTTCCAGAGCTTCTTTAATCTATCCATGCTTTTCTTCAAGCATGGTGCTCTTTATCAGGGTACATTCTTCTTCTGAGACCTCCTCTGTACCAAGCAGAGCAGAGGAATTTGTCTCCAGTGTCTTACACATGAAACTGCACTAATATATCCTAGGATGAGTTGTACTCAGTTATCCATGTGGGTCCTTTCCAGCTCAGAATATTCTGTGATTCTGTAATGGTTGTAGCTTTCTTCTGGACATTGGCCTTTTGTCACTGTTGTCAAACAGCACTTTTCTACAGAACAGATCCATACCTTTTTTTTTTTTTTTTTTTAATATGTCTGTATGAATGGTGTCTCCCTAATGCAAGCCCTTCACTCTTTATTGAGTTTCACCTTCATCATTTGATGCCATTTCTCTACTTCTTCTGTCCTCCAAATTTTTACAAACGTTTTAACCTCAGTGATATCCACCAATGTGTGTTGTCAGTACTGTCAGCTGACTTGCTAAGGAAAATATTCAAAAATCTTGTTGCAGATTAGGTTTCAGCAACTTCTGATATATCTTTTCAGTTTGATGGGCAAAATTCTTGATGAGATTTTGAATATTGTTTTTAGTGCTAGTTGGGTTAGTAGCATTATGTAGACTGTATTCCCCAGCCTGCCTATGAGAATAGCATTTGATATTTAAGATACCTCTTTTCTGCTGGTTCTTATTAGCTGGTACTCAGCTTCATTCGCTGTTACTTGTTTTAAAAAATCCATATTGGCTGTAATTTATCACTCATTAATTTATGAAATTAATATATAGGATATTAACCTAAAGAAGAAAGCATGAACAAGCTTTATTGATGTATATTTAATTTATATTTATTATAATTAAACCATTTTCTTCTTACAGCTCAATTAAAGATAGACATATCTCCAGGCTCCAGAGAATCCCCATTACTGTCTAACTCCAGAGTTGCTGCAAGTCAAACTTTACCCAGACAGCAGAGTTAGACCTACAAGAGAAATCCTGGAGTTTCCTGCCAGGGATGTCTACGTTCCAAATACCACGTACAGGTTAGTTTTGAAATACATCTCACATTTCAGGGCCTGAGAATGCCAGGTCCAAAAATTCCTATCTTATCATGTGGTTTGTTGCAAAACTTGCTGCATCAGTAGATATGCTGTGCCAGAGAGACAGAAAGGGTCCAGACTGACATAGCAGAAAATTCACAGTTCTCTAGGGATGAACATGGTTGTGTAAAACTTGGCTATGAACAGGGACATGAGAGAGGTTTCTCTACCTTGCAAAATTCAAAGTGGAATTTGGTTGAATTCTCTTTGGATTTGCCTAGGTTTTAAATTTTGTCTGTGTGCTGAAGCCAGTATCCTCTTACCAGTTTTACTGCTTACTGGCACTTTAAATGGCTTATTTTTGTCTTTACACTGGGGGATAAAAATGAAGAAGATGCATAATCCCTTTCATATTTCCATTCTGATTTAAAGGCAATTTCCTTGTTTACAATGCTTTAAAAAAAACTATGAAGATCTGGAAGAATATTTTTTTAAGCATTTCAGAAAACAATAACCTTTCTATAACTAAGTGTAGGCAGTGAGCAGATTTCTTTTCATTATTTTTCCTCTATTAATTTAAAGCTCTTTCACAGTATCCTTGAAGATAGTACACTTCTGAATGGTGTTGTCTTCATCTTCAGTTGAGTAATTTCACCACCTTACTCACAAGATCAGTTACTTCTTGTCATAAAAACTGGATAGATACAGACCAGATTCTTAGAAAACAAAGCTTACAAGAAAGAGTTTATTCAAGTTCCGCATCTCATGTCTTTTTGGAAGATTTATTTATTTATTTACGGTAGAGGTTCGACAGGTAATTAAACACCACAAAATACACCAGCACAAATAAGCAGCACTGTGTGTTCTCTTCTTTGTGATAAATCCATAAGAAGTAACAGTATTTTAGCAGCTTCTTTGTGATTAGCACATTCTATTCACAGTTGTTTCACTCTGACAAATTACAATTTAAGACCACTTCTTGGATGGTTGCAAATGTAGAGATAAAAAAAAAATCTGTACTGTACAAGGGTTATACAAAATATGCAAGTCAATATGACTCAATATAACTGCAGAATTGAGGTCTTTGTCAATAAACACTTCTGCAGCAAGCCACCTGCAAGCACGTCAACAGTCCTACTGCCTCAGAGGCTGCCTTCTGCAGCTGAAGTTAACCAAATGTGTATGTGTTCTCAGGAGCAGGACCAGCACTGTCGCATGGGTTTTGCCTATAGGGTTCATCGGATGGCACCATTGACTCCATTGGAGTTGCCCCCAGGCGCAGTTACTCAGCTGTTCTCTATTTGAAAGGTGTTTGGATCGTGTGCTCACTTGGTGTTTCCTTTCATTTCTCAGTGAGCTATACTAAAAGGTCACAAAGGGATGGGTCTAAATCCATTCCAGATGAGAAGAAACAATCTCTTACTCATTTCAGAAAGCTTTGAAGCTTAGCCCTTAAGTTTCAGTTTGTAAACACAGTTCTTAACCTATTCTTTGAAGTGTGATATCTAAAAGATTAGGTCGGTGCTCCGGCTTACTTGATGTGTGTGTACACATCTACAGCTGTGTGAGTACAGTGCTTCAGCAAAGATCAGCCTGACCTAGATCACTGAAAGATTTGTTTGGAAATACACAGATCCCTAAAATGGGGAGTTACTCATCTTTTGTTTGCCCACAGAAACATTCCACAACAATAACATGAACCAAACAACAAATCAGTCACTTTATGAAACAGAATTTCTTATTTTTCCTACAAATTAATACCTAAATGTCTTCTGTAGCATTTTGCCAGCCCTTTATGTTTGCTGAACCACTTTTCCTGTTCCCTCCTACACAACCCAGAGACAAATGCAACAGCCTGAAAACCCTTTCCCCCAAGCAATATTATCTAATACATGAATAGGCAGCCAATTCCTAGGTATTAGGGTTTGATCCTGGGGAGGTAAAACCCTACTTAACTTATAGCAGGTTGACCTTTGGGCTAGGGTGAAGGAAAATACTCACCAAACATATGGTAAGACCATCACATATGCCTCAGGGTTTGTGTCATTGGAGAATACACCATACAGTGTATGGATTTGGATATGCACCTGTTACTAAGCATAACATGAATTTCTCTGATGTAGCAGTGTTCAGTGTATATGTTCTGAATTCACGTGCATCAGGTTAAGCATTCAGTCAAAGCTTTTTAGATCTGTCGGGTGTATCATTATTTTGGTTGACTTGAGCAAGTAGTATCTTCCTTTTTTAGGCTTCCAGTATAAGCCTTTACTCCTGTCTAGTCTTCCTTTTGACCTTGGTGCGACGTATTTCCCGTTAAGATTGGTTTCCTCGCATTCGCTGTGCCACCAGCCTCCTAAGAAAAAAGATTGTAATGTCAGTTGTACCCTATTGTGCTCAGTTTCTTTGTACAGAGTTTCCGTTTGCAACACAAATCTTCTTTAGTCCAGTTCCAGCAAAAGTGACAATTATCCTGTATACCTAAATGAAATGTTGCTTGCACATAAACTCACTCACACTTGCCACTTGAAGGCCACCACACAAATGTTGTGCTACCTGTTACTGTCAGCTTCACATAAAAGTGGTGCTGCACAGAAAACGGCATGCACAAATGCTACCACTGAATTGGGACACCTGGGAGGTTACCTCCACTCTTTCATGTTTCCTGAGACCCTGCCCAGCAGATTCCTGATTTCCCAGTGCTTTTCTCAAGTAGAAACAGGTAAATCTCCACATCTGGAGGCTGAAGAGCCTTTGGTAAACAAATTATTTTTTTTTATTGGCCCATGTCCTTAACCACGAGCTAGAATCGTGAGCCCAGTTCTGCTGGCAAAGGCCTGGCCATGACCATTGTGCTAAATATGAAAGTCTAGCACTTTGGAAGTCATTGCCCATCTGCTTTGTGGTCATTAGAGCTGCGTAACATGCTCAGCATTGTTTCAGACATCAGCAGTGTTCAAGCTACAAATGACATGCACAAAACGTTTGCTGCACTAAGTAGGTGCCTGGCGGGCAGTTCTGTATCCTGTAGTTTTATGATTAATTGGTGGCTTTTTTGCTATAAAGTGGCAAAACATAAAAGCTTCATTAAAATCAAAGAATGTAGGAACCCTTTAATTGCATTATCATTAAAGAGAACTGTCTTCAGCCTCTCTTCTTTCTTCCTCTTTTGAGAGTGATTGTAGCATAGTGTTGACAAACAACTAAAATCTGTTTGAATGATGGTGAGTTTCCATTCTGAACTTTTGGCTTGTAGCCAAAATGGAGCCAAGAGTCAGTTTGTCTTTTCCTTTTTTTTGCAAGAAGGGTTGAAACAATCCAACCTAGGCTGCCCTACTGGAGCAGGCCTCAGAAGAGAATCTGCCCAAGAGTTTATCTCAGCTGATTGTGCTGATTCTGTTTCTAATGCTGGTCATTTACACAGCCTCACTATGCTTTAATTTTGCCTTCTATAAAGCACAGAGATGATCCCTCGTTGTAGGGCCCAACAAAAAAAAAAACATCTCCTGTTCTTTCCTGCAAGGACAAAGATGCTGCTACCCTCCCTGTTTGTTTCTAAAGTCAAGCAAATACTGGTAACCACCCACTAAAGCATGCTACTGTCCTTCACTTAACAAGGAAACAGCCACTTTAGTGTACCCGGCCGGCATACTGATACCTAGGTAGTTTTCTGGGCAGTTGAAGTTGTTTATTACGGCCATGTCATGGTCTGCAGTTGAGAACCGCAGCTCTGTCTGCTCGGGCAGCGCGTTGGGGATGCTCCCAGAGATCCGTGAAAGCTGAAGCGTGTAGTCTGTTCTCGGGCCTCCCAGGTCGAATGCGTACTCGACGTAACGTTTATTATCTTTCCAGTCCTGCAGCTCGATCCGTAAGATGTAGTCCCCTTGTTGAGTAATGGAATAGGTCTTGTTCAGGCCCAGCCAGAATTCCTCTGCAAAGTGATAGCAAATAGGTGCTGTGAATATGGAGCCTTTAAAAAAACATTGATCATGTTTTTCAGATATCTAACCCATACCTCATTCACCTTTACAATATCATCATTTGAAAACATGTATTTAAGTAAACAGTGCAATGTGAGAATCAAGAAATGTCAGAGGTGAGGATTTGGGGACAGAAATTGCCAGGCGGAGAGTTAGTGGGGGAAGGTGCTAAACTTTCCCTAAAAACCCATATCGCTCCCCCTGCTATTGAATTTGTTTTTACAGATAACCTGTGGTTGGTATATGTGAAAATATAGTATTTAAAAGGATTTATTCATTGCTTTAATTAAATCAATAATATGAGCCTTGGGAACTGTTGATCTTTTCAGAGGTCTCCTGCTGCATTCTTTTTGTTTACCTCTTCCTAATTGCACACTGGTGATCAATAAAAGCCAGAGATATAAATGAACTGGAGCTTCTCCCACCTCTTGTGAAACTCTGGGTGGGAGCTCAAGACATTTAAAACATGCATGATTGGAACTGCGTGACAAATGAAGCAAATGACATACATAAAACCTAATTGCAAACGTTGTTTTTTAACAAAAGAGCTGCAAAACTAACCTGAGGTTTCGATACCCTTGTATACAGAGTGAATTTAACCTGAGCATTTTTCTTTTGCTATAATTCTTGAATAATTGCTTCGTAAATTATACTCATTAAGTAACTAATTATCAGAGCCACTGGTGTCAGTGCAGGATAGGTAATTGCCCCACGTAGAAATAGTACAGCTGAATCTGAATGCCATACATGCAGGTGGCATTTAGAGCAATAGAAGACAAGATGAGTAAAACACCCCACAAATTACAGGTGTGGAAGCAGTAGCCTGGTGTTTTCTCACCTTAGAGCATGCAGCACCAAACTGACCAGTACGAAGCTGAGCATTATGCCATCCTCTGACACTGGAAAGATGTGGCCTGATGTTGGTTTAATGTATGGGAATTGGAGGCCAGTAAAGGGGCAACCATAGCATTCAATACGATCAGACACACTATGTGGGTAAAAGTCAACCTCAGTTGTGAGCTACTGGCCCAAAATGGTGATGTTTTCATCTCTGCTCTGCCTAGAAAGTCAAAATATTTTCTAAACCGAAGTAGAATCATTTCATTGTAAGAGAAAAACAAGGAAAATACTCTGGGTAGGAAGGCTGGTAGGCATCTCTTGGTAATAAAACTTCTTTGGAGTTGATGATTAACCCTTAAATGTGGGTGTTTCCTCAGCCTGGCCAGCCAGGTGAGGACATTGGCCACCACGTGGGGAGCTGGAGGTGGTTGTGTAAGGGAGCACCCACAGCTTCAGGTGCTCTTGAAAAAAGGAAAAAAAAACCAGACAAATCAGGTGGTGGTTCTAAGGGAAATGTGGTTGCAGAGAGTTTGAGAGAAAGTAGTGAAAGTACCTCAGTGAGGTAGTATTTTGGGTGTTACTTCAAAGCATTGTGGGGTGCTTTGTAAATAATAAAATCTCAATATCTAAAATAGCATCCAGAATGCTCTGATTCAGACTTGAGTCAGCAAAAGTTTCTAGACGTGTTTGAAGATGTGTCTTGGAGAATTTTACTGAATTATACTTTCTGATAAGTGCTTTCTGGTGTTCCACTAATGAGGCAAGCTGCTTAGATTTGTTTGTAGATTTTGTCTGCTCCTATGTGAACACCTTTCTGGGAAAATTCAGCTTCTCAAATCAATTTATACAAAGCAAAGAAAACAGAAGAAGCATTTTTACCGTTGAGATCACCAAACCCCTTGACATAGGCGTCCCAGGTTTGGTTGAAATCCAGTGATCCATCCACTCGGTTCTGGATTACGGTCCAGGAAGTGCCTGCAGATGCAAAGAGGAAATAAGTCACAAACCTGGCTTAAGTATTTGAAGTACTGGGAAGAAAATTCAGCCCTACCAGCCCCTGACACACAGAAGGTGCTGCTGTGGCTGCCCTTCTGCTGCCTGCCTTTAGCTGGTGGTGTTTGACTGTTGGGAGCCCAACTCCAGATGAGGTTTGAAGTGTTGGAGGCCACGGCTGGCTAGGATGGCCGAGATCCTGCTCCTGACCAGGTCATGACAACCTTGTTTAACGAATTTCAACAAATGTAAGCAAAGGAGGGTTTTGCACAGGGCAAGCCCATGCCGCTCTGTGTACACATCCAAACATATCCCATCGCCCTGTCACGTTTGCACCAGCGTGTTCCCAGCCAGCTGTGGCGAGGAGCTGCGCGGGGAAGCTGGAGAGGACAGAGCAGCACTGCAGGATGCCAAAATGGGGGAACAGTCCTCTGGCCAAACTACGTGTGGCCTCTAGACATTGGCAAAGGAAACAGCCAAATGGGTTTCTTACAAAGATAGAGCTTGGGTAGGTGCTTTATGTTTGGTTTGTGGTGGTTCTGTGCAGCCTCTCCCAAACACGATGCAGGAATCCTGTCTCCAGGACTCACCTCTTTGGGTTGGTTTGATATACCTAAGTCATAAGCACCAATCCATGCTATCAAACAAAATTTTACTAAGGCGTTTAAATTTGCTTTAATTAGGAAATATTACTTCATGGTTGCAATGTAGTGGACTTTATAATCTCCATTTTTATTCTTTATAACTAAAGGGGATTTACCTTTTTAATATTAATATGCTTGATATTAATTGTATGCATATTGATAAGAATAGTATGAATATACTAAATAGCACATGACAGAAAGTACTTTCCACAGTATAAACAGATAACCTAGAAGGAAGGCAGCGTTGTGGGGACTTTAGGAGAAAGGAAGGTGCTCAAAGCACATACAGAACAGTAAGAGAAGAGGATACACATGACATGATAAGTGATTGTGTACTTTGGGATGAGACATAGCTTTTTGGCTTATAGAAAACTACTTATTTGAAAATTGGACTGTTGCTAGCACAGCTGTCTTACCGAATTTTGTTTCACAGTAGACATCGAAAGCTTCTGAGCCGTTAGGCTTAATAGTGTAAGTGCCACTGGTCTGAATGCCGCTGTTGTACAGAGCAGTGCAGTCAGGAGCAGCACCTAGGAAAGCAAGCACCAGACAATTACAAACCCTCTTTTGGATGTGGTAAGTTTTAATTCAGCTTTGTGACTTGAATTATTCTATAGAGTAGCTCCAACACAAAACCTGGAACAATCTTTTTGGTCATTATCACGATAAAGGTCATGAGATGGGCAAACTGCTTTGAGCATGGTAGTAGCACTGCCAAGTTGTATATACATTGGACCACCTACATTTGGGGTTGGCAAGGTTTCAATTCAGATAATTCTGGAAAATTTGTAAGGCTTAAGACTGGACTCATAAATTTCCCAGTTAATGCTGTTCCCATCTCTGCAGTTCAGAAATGCATCTCAACTTTAAAGAAAGCTTTTCCAAATCATGAAACGAGCTGAAGTAAATTAGTTCTCGGTTCATACTCTCTAAGACAGGCATCAGCAAGTGGCAGTAAAAGGATTGCCACATGGAGTGAATGGAGGCTGAAGATTGAGGCCAGGATTATGGCATTACTGGATGTTGTTTCCATGTGCCACCCCAGAGACAAGTATACATACAGCGTGGCTAAACAGATTATGGCATTTACCAAAGCAGAAAATCCATCTCCTTCCAACAGCACTGTATATAACATAAAAGCATTTTGCTTTTGGTCTCTGACTACTGAAAACCAAAAGAACTGTATTGTGTAGTTGCAGCTAAGGCGTATGGTCTCACCTTCATATTTGTATGTTACAGCTGTGGAGTTGCGCACATAAAAGGGGGTGGCCTCTGGTTCTGTGTGCTCCCCAGTGAAGGAGTTCTCTGCGAGTTCCTGGAGCTCGATGTGGTTCAGCTGGGAAGAAGCATAATTACAGACTGTTAATTTCCCAAGGCTCTGAAATTATGAGGTTCATGTATCAAACTGAGCAATGTCATGCAGAGAGTAATTTTTTTATATGAACATAACCCTTTAAAGTAGCCAACTTATGACATAAAAATAACTTGAGAACCACACTGGTGGATTTCAGGTGTATGTTTCTGCTCAGGTGTATGTATCTGCTCAGACAGCACAGGATTCCTGAGGTGAGTAAGTGACCAGTTCTCACGAGGTACACCTTAATGGGTAAACACACTTATTCCCTCAGGTGACATCACTTAAACGAATAATACCGAGATCTAAGAGCACAGAACCCATGGTTTCTTTTATAAAAGGCATTTTTCCTTTATAGCCTCCTCTTACAATAAATTAATAAATTAAATATGGGCACGTCAGTTCTACCCAGCGTTGCGGTTACACATGTTGAGCTGCAGCACATGGCTCCCTATTGGAGTGAATATTGGAAAAGAAGAAAGAGATGGAAAGTAATGATGCTTAGAAGACCAAGGGAACAAGAATAATAGGGTAGATAATAATAATAATAAAGAAAAAGAAAAATAGCAGTCAGGAAATAGAGCAGCCTGGTACTGATCGACAGTGCTTTGGAGCTGCGTCCTCAGCCGTGTGCTCTAGCCACAGCCCCCAGCCTGGCAGCACAGCAGTCTTTCACCCAAAAAGGTCCCTGTTTGTGGTCAAAATTGCTTATAGCCTCCTCTGCGCTCCCAAAACATCAAAGAGAGGGATGGCTGACCAGAATGAATGGTGGGACGTTACCTCCTTCAGTGTTATGAGAGGCAACAGATTCAGAAAGGAGAGATGTGATGGTTACTGTACCTTGTCCTCCAGCTCCATGATCTGGTTGTGCTGTTTGTCGAGCTGTGCGTGCTGGTCCTCCACGATTTTGAGAAGCTGCTTGATGTGGTTGTCCTGCCGCTCCACAAAAGCCTGAGGACAGGAAGGGAGGGCAGGGAGGTTGTGGTTAGGGGCAGCAAAAGGCCTTCACAGGGGCACTTCCTCAGTAACTCATCACAGGGGCAGTTCAGAGGCACAAACCATTTAACAGTGCCTTTTCCATGGGACTTTGTGCTTTTCCTCTAAAGGTCCAAATTTCTTTGCCTCTGAAGTGGACACCCAGCCTTTTTGATCCTTTTGGAGGCAAACTACGGGCAACTTCATAGGCTTCTATTGTTGCTATTTTCCTTATGTTTTCACGTGAAGTTTACATTCTGTGAAGCTGATCCTTGATTCAAACTAAAAATATGGCACTGACAAAAAAAAAAGGAATGATGCCCAGTGTTTAGGGTATTAGCTTGGGATTTGGAAGGTCAGGATTCAACTTTCTGCTCTGACATGAACATCCAGTGTTTTATGCTTTTGCAGAATACAGTTACTACTTCCTTTTCCCTAGGAAACCTTGTACCCACCTACGTATTTCCATGTATTGGCATTAAGTCTATTAACACCTGCAAAATTCTTTGGTCCTGGATGGTCCCTGCAGGCACTACAAATGTCCCTCAGTTTAAACTTCCTGCTTCTGTGCTGAGCAGGCAGTTCGTAGTGCATTGATTTGTAGTGAGCTGATGACATAAGAAGCTATGGGCTTGGTAATCAAATCATTTTCCTGATTTTTTTCCCCTCATTATAATTACAGATTTTTTTGAAAAACAGCATTTGCAAAAACTGAAAAAGATACAGAGCCTTATCACTTCACTATTTTCTCACTGATTTCACTGGGGAATTACACTGTAAAACAAACCACTTGTCAAATTACAACACTGATTCTTAGAAGGTTATTGCAGTGATTCATTTCTCAAAATACACAGTAGAACTACAGTGAGGGTGCAGGGAAAAGATGAGCATCTATTGTATAACTACCGATAATAGCATTACGATTTACTTTGGCTTTGTGTGTCAGGGGTTCTTACAGATTTACTTACTTTGAGTGAAGAAATTTCATTTGTCTCTTGCACTGTAGGCTGGGTAATGGCCAACTTAGTGACTTTGTCCTCCAGTCCCCACACCTTCTCCTGCAGCTGGATTTTGTTTTGTATGAGGTCTTCAATCTTCAAATTCATCTCCTGCGAGAGATTCTTTATCTCTTCATTGTTGATTTGCAGTCTGGCAGTAGTTTGGCGGAGCAGTTCTTCTTCTTCTTTGATTTCATTGGTTTGCAGTGAGAGCTCATAAAAGGACTTATCAAAAATGTAAAGTTTTTGAAAAATGTCATTCATCTGCCCCTTTGTCTTATGCACAAAGTCTTTAAGACCGTGCCCAAGCTGGAGGAGTCCATTGGCTAAGATTCGTACATCATCTAGCATGGCAAATCTTGATTTTGTCTCAGGAGATGCAGCCGAATCAAGGGCAGAAAAGTCCTTCTCAGCTCTAGCTGAGAGAGCGAGTGGGGCAATGAATAGAAAGATAAGAATGATTTTCATGATTTCTGCTCCTGCTACGCTTTGGTTGTTCAGGATGCAGAGACTTTTCCTAATAGTTTTCACTGTGTGACTGTTCTGTGTTGAAGAATTTAATCTATATATACTCCTCTTCATTTTAGAAGAGGCAGACCAGCGAGTTGATCATTAAACTGTGTGTATTTGAACGAATGTAACCCCTCTCGAATCTAGGTTGATACCTGGGAAACCTGAGAGCCGGGCACGTTGCTGATTAAGCTGCCTCTGAACTTTTCCATCTGCCAGACGTGCTGTTATAAAATGTTAATGAAGATGTATGACGTGTTTTTGACACAAGGCTTTTTTAATAGATTAATTGTGGGTCATAATCTCGATAAGGTCCAAATTGCTTCTTATTTGTGTTGTCTGATTCCTTTTATTCCCTTAGGATTATAAAAGGGTTTACGCTGCTCAAGAGCACTGGATGCTGCATTTCGGGTTATGCAGCTCTTTGATAAGCTGTGGAAGGGCACAATATTCCCAGATGATTCACACAATCTGATTCTCATTTTGTACCGTGTTCTGATGTAACTCATCGTACCGCAGTGGATTTGCTTGTCAGCTAGTTCAGATTAAGTGAGAAAGTGGGAATTAGGTCCAGAGATTGTCTGGATGTGATTCTACTGTCTTAAGGTTTGTGCAGTAATTTACACCATATAAAGCTTATTTTTTAAGAGCTGCTTTCCAGAGGTGGGTGAGATAAATAATACCCTGCTTACATTTCTCACCTTACCATTTCCCTTCCTGTTTAAGATTCACACTGAATAAGACAAGGCTACGGGTACTCTGAAATAAATGTCCAGTTCTGCACTGGGTCTCTGCGTGGAAGCGTGTGTATTTCTCAAGGAGTAGTGCAGTGTGAATGAAAGGTATTTTTCTTTCTGGAATCTCTCATAGCAATCCAAAAATCAGTCCATGCTTAATATAGCCTGTACTTTGGAGGATTTTCAGGTTTTGTAGACTCTTCTAGCAATTCCTCCTCTGGACTGTTTTTTGTTGTTGTCCATGTACATATATGTGTACAATACGAAGCATCAATAGAAAAACTATTTACAAAATTTATCTCATACAATGAATTCTTGTGTGATGCAAGGGTTGATAATGTGCAGGTAACCTGCCCCTTCCCCCCTAATAATTAAATAACACGAGTGTATTTTCGATCTCTGATTAATTGGTGAATGTTTTGTACCAGCAGGATTTGGCTTACTGTACTGTCTGAGCAGCCTTTGCTTCATTTGAACTGCAGTGTGGTGTTGAGCAGCTCTTAAAATATTTCAGCTGGACAATCCTTTTACCTAGAAATCCTTTCTGAACTGGAAAGAGGCCTGAGATACGTACAGACCAGTGCAGAGATAACCTCACAGCCCTCCTAGTTCTCTAAGTGCAGAAGTGCAGAAAGAGGGGTTCTGGCCAACTCAGTGCCCTTCTGGTTCTCTGCTGCTGCCCTTTGCAAAGCAGGAGCTGAGCCCCCCTGCATGATCCTGGGCTGCATCTGCTCGCTGCAGGCAGGTGTAGCACGTGGTAGGGAGCAGCTCCGTGCTTAATTGCTCATTTGAGACTGGAAGCCTGTAGGCAACAAGGAATCTGGTTACGGGCCGTCATTAAAGAAACTCATCAAATCTGTGTTTACCCGGTCCTGATGAAAATCTGTTAGAAAAATTGCTAGAACAATTAGGGTTATTCACTGGGTGGTGATCAGCCTGAAAGGTTTGCTTCGAGTCATCATTCCTGCAGCATTTTCTCATTTCTTAATAGCAATGGAAATACATGAAGAGATGTTCAAATGAGTTAAAAAATCAAAAACCAAAAAAGAAAAACCAAACCCCACACACGTGCAAGATCTGGTTTGCTCGCATATTGTGCCTATGTGGGGATTTCTTGGGGATCTTAAGAGCTTACCCCTGAAACACGTGATAGTTTTTACTTTGAATGATAGACTGAGATAACATTTTACCTGATAACCCCATTTAAACAATTCCAGTGTTTAAAAAGTAGATAAAATGTGCTTTCATTGTAGTGGTATTTTCTGTAGGGAAAGTCCTTAGACTGTCACTTGTGTAGATGACGTTTAGGTAAAGTTTTTATCTGGGCCTGACACTGCTCTGTAATGGGGAACAAAGTCCAGCCTTTGGCATCCGACACAGGGATTTGGGACTGCAAAACTTGAAGAACTGGTTGCAAAAGTTAGAAAAAAAGTAAATTAAAAAAAAAAAAACCTTTCCACAATCCACTTGAAAATACTTGGGGTGGCTTTGTGGTTTCAAAGAAATTGTGTTGAAGAGTTTTTTTAGTTCTGTTTTAAATAGCTTTGTATTGTCCACATCACCTCCAAAAATCTTTGTTCCTTAGTCTTCGGAAAAATAGAGGAAATTGCTCAAGAAATGCCAATAAGCAAACAATTGGAGATGATTTTACCAGGTTTCTGCAGCAGAAGAAGCTCCTGCATGTCCCCATGCACCAATGCCACCGCAGCTCAGCCAACAGCATGAAATGGGACCTTGCTTGTCCCCGAGCACTGCTCAGATGTGGCACTGCCCCGTGGGAAGGTTTGCTTTGTGAAGGGGAAAGGCAGTCAAAATGCTCTGATGTCAAGTGTTAAAAGTTCACGACTGGCTGCTAAGCACATGCAGCTGTAGATGTTGCCGTATTAATGCCAGTGCCAATAAAGTCAGGCAGTGCTAAGTGCTCTTGAAAATGCCACCCTCCAGGTCTTGGATGTCACAACAGTCACACAGCCCACAAGCGAAGCGAGACTCAGGAAGACAGGGGAAGGAAGGCCCTCTGGTATGGTGAAACCATAAGGTTTGGGAGCTGTGGAAACTGTAAGGAGAAATCCTGTCCCTGAGAGCTGTTAGCCCAGTCAGGAAAAGATGCATTTAATAAACATGGTCCTAAAGATCTTTGATGCACCTGGGTGACCCTCTTTAAGTGGGCTTTAAATGATTTTTATAGTAGGAATAAAGCAAAGAAAAAGGTCTCTGGGATTTACTGAAAAGGAGAATTTTAATAACGGGTAGACATCCCCTTTATGAGTTAGGACCAGCTCTTAATGTTTTAATACATTTATGAAGAAATTTGGAAAATGGCTACAATCACATTGAATAAATATTTAGGAGAGTGCCTGGTGCCATTATTTCCAAGGCTTGGGAAGCCTTTGCACTTTAGCCATTCATTTTTACGGAGGTAAAAGTACTTTTGAGATCTGTTTGAGATAATAATGTAAGCTTTGCATACATTTTGCAGGGCATTGTAATAACGGCTCCAGACACAAGTCCTTGGGTTTAAAGCTTTTGGCTGAAACTTTTATTGGTAGGAATCAGTGAATAATCATCAGGAGGTAGCTGTTGCTTGGAAGCATAAGGATTAGCTGTCCTTTTGTTTTGTCATTGTATGCCTGGCCTGGTTGTTGGTGCTGCAGTGTTATTTTCGTGGTAGATCCTTCCCCTCACTGTTTTCAGAGGGTGCTGGTTACACCTCTGGTGTCCTGCAAGCACTACTGAGCTTTGATATTTGTGCATACAAGTAGTGAGATGAGGATTTACAGTGTAATGACCCAAGGAAAGAGGGTACCAAGGTGAAACTATCTCATTCTCTTCCAAGGTCTTAGCATTTCTCTCATCAAGCTGCTGAAATGACTCCTTTTCTCCCAGGCCACAGCAGAAGAGCTGGTAGGAGAACTGCAGGCTTGGTTTAGGTTCCTCCCTGCTATCCAGCGTAAATCAATCCCCAGCACAAGACCGCCCTTAGTGTAGGGATCCTGTAGCCAGGCTTCCCAAATACATTAAATCCTTCTCTTAAGCACTAATAATACTTAATAAAAGTTTTATGAGCAATGTACATTTTAGAGTAAATTTTCATATCCATTTTCATTTTAAAAAGAACATCAAGGAGCAAATGTATTCATGCCAGAACAAAGTAATTTAGTAGAGCCACAAAAACGGCACAGGCCCCCTCTGAAACAGTAAGAGAACATTGATTAGGCAAAGCGACCAACGGGGCTGGGATTCAAGAACTTAATTCAGCATGAAGGACTTGAAAGGGAATAAATTTCCCATGTGCCAACTAAGCATATTCCTCTGCCTGGAGGGGTGAAGAAGTCTGGCTCCGTAACGCGGCCCCACGTAGCCTGATGGAGCTCTGCAGCCACACTGCCCTTGAGGAGGTTCCTTCTCAGGCCCTTAGAGCTTTCCTCAAGCCCAGCGTTGGGTGGTGGTGGCACAGAGGGGAGCACGCGGGGTATCAGGGGGCAAACGGAGCTGAGAATGTCAGAACCAAGTCTTTGGATGGGATTAATTTGTCCAAACTCTGGCTTCTCAGCTGGCAGTTTTGGTTGATCCCCGTCTTTCACCGAGTGGGTACTGGGGTGTGGAATTGAAAACACCATCTCCTCTGAGGCATTGCAGAGGTTCCCTATCTGCTGAAAATACAAGAATACAGATGTCAATTTAGGTCAGTCCGTTGTCACAGGAGAGTTGTAACCTGAATTTATGAAAGGTGAAAGGAAATTAAAAAAAAAAAAAGTCACAACAAAGAAGGTATTCAACAGAAACCAGCCACTCTCCTGAGATGTTTTCTCTCCACTTGAACTTGCTAAATAGTGTAATCACTGGGAAATTTTTGATATATTTTTCAAGGATCTTTATAAACAGGAACTGTTCCAAAATACCACATGAGTTAAGACTTCTGATGTCTAAAGAAGAGGTCATTATCAAGTCACTTGTGCGGGTGTGCACGTGTGTTCAAGAGAAACCACTGCCTAATGGAAAATAACAAAGTCTTTGCTCTGATTCTGTTTCCTTAGGGGTTAAATAACAGCACTAATAACGGTGTGAATGCTGTCATTCTCACAGAGGTGCCTTTGTCTCTTGCAGGAACCTTCTTTACGTCTATCCTCAGAGCCTTAACTTCGCCAACCGCCAAGGATCTGCCAGGAATATCACTGTCAAAGTCCAGTTCATGTATGGAGAGGACCCCAGCAATGCTATGCCGGTGAGGGGAGAGCTTTGTGCTCAGTGTGAATGCTGCGTGCCGACAAGACAGGATACACATTACAGCCATAAAATCCCTGTGT